CCTCGATGCTATTACCTGTCCATCTTCCCCCACCCACCACCTGGACATGGTGCAGGGGAAACCAGGACTTATCAAGACAAAGAACAAAAGTCGTGGGGGAAAGAAGCCAAGAGCCATCTCTACTCTGGGGTAGGGCCCTTCAGTTCGCCCCTTTGAAATTTCAAATTCCAGTTTGTGGACAAAGTCCTAACTATCTCACAATATAGGTCCCCAACTGCTGACCAAACTCCAGTCCAGGCAGCCACATGGCCCGAGGCTGGCCTGCCCGCCCTGCTGTCTTTGGCAGCTTCCAAGACTCAGGCACGAGTCCTGGGGTAGCTGGGGCCTAACAGGCCATCCCTGGGGCCCCAGCCAGCCACTGGGATGCCCGGCCTTCCAACTGAGAACAGTTTTCACCTGGAGCTGGGATCAGGCGCCTGCTGATACCAACGGCAGGTAGGTGCTGTGCAATTTGGGCCTCAGCTCCCTCTTGAGTTCCTGCACCCTTCTCCTCCTGCCATGGCTTGACCCCGGGACTGACGCACAGAACTTAAGAACTGTCTACCCAACCCGCCCAGTTGGCGGGTAGCAACAGTGAGGTCCTTAACAAGTGGCAGCTGCTGCACGTTGAACTGTGTGGAGCTGGGCCTTATGAATGGGCCCCTCACAGAGACCCAGCGGGCAAGAGGGACTTCCTGCAGTCTGCTCAGTGGTGGCGGGAAGGTTGGTCTTCACAAGGAGGACCCTTCTGCCATCCTCAGAAACCATGGGCAGCTGTGTTTGTTCCCTGGGAGGCTGATGGCCACTGGATTGCCACAAGAGTATTTCCGAGAGGAAGATGAGGGAGCTGGGGCTGAAGGCCAGTGGGTTTGGAAGGAAACAACATTCATGTGGTTAACTGATAACTGGCCCCATCCCTGGGCCTCTGCCGGCCTCCTTCCTCTCTCCCTGTCCTCAGCGTGATTAAGATGAACTTACCTGCCTGCTAATCATTGCTGAGCCTGTTGATTTTGCCTTAAAAAATTAACTGGGCATGAGTTTGCGGTTTGCCTCACCCCTAACCCTGAAAAGGCCGGGGTGAGCAGAAGGCCTCCTGGGTTATGCAAGAGGCCGCTGGCCTCCCCACAGATGTCCAGCGGCCTGCTCTGCCGCCCTCCAAAGGGAAGGTTTTGCTCGAGTCAACAGTCTGCCTATGCCCTGCTCTGCGTCCTGAGCAAATTTGCTCTGTTACCAAAGAAAGATAAAGGTAGCAGAGTGGGGGTGGGGGGAGTTTTCCAAACGGGAATGCGAAGATGTGGCTTTGAGTCTGGGATTGCAGAATCCCTGGAGCCAGAACCTGTGGGAGGATATGAGCTGGGGCTTTTTCAACCCGACTCTGGAGGTCCCTGGAGTACAGATTGCACCAAGTGAAGGGCTCTAAGATGTGACCTTTCTTAATATTTTCCCCAAACCACTGTCCAGCCTCAGCACCTCAGGGTGCAGAAGGGGAACTGGAGGCCAGAAGTAGAAAAGACCCACCAAGGATAGGGGGCACCCTGGTCCCCAGCTGGGATGGGGTGATAGGCTCTCACCGATGGCCTCAGTGATGTGTGGAAGGATGTCAGGGAGCAGATGGCTCTGCAGACGCCTTTTCCTGTCTTTTCTCTCTCCCTCCAAAGTCAGGGGACTTCACCTGGTCTTGTGTCCTGTGGCCCTCTGAAGAGCGGGACCAGCAGCATGAGCTGTGGACCAGAGGGTCCAGTCATAGCCTGTCTTGGTCCTGTTCCGTCTCTGGAGACATTAGGCCCTTGAGCCAGAGCGGAGCTCTGCCCTGACTCAGCCCTCCTAAGCCTCAGTTCCTTCCCTTGTAACATGGGAATGACATCTCTTGGGGTCGTCACAAGAACGAAATGGAGCCATGTGCTGGCAATCATGGCCCTGATTTCTGGAGGGCTGTCTATGTGCTTGTAACTCTCATGCTGCCCAGAGAGGAAGGCTGTGGTTTTATCAGCATTATATGGGCCACGGACACTGCGAGTTTGAGGCAAGGGCTGAGACTAGGGACAGAAATGAGAAGCGGAAGCCCAATCCAAGCTGGCTCCATAATCCACACCCCTAAGCCAAGGCCACGCTGCCTGTGAGGGCCTGAGCACACTCCCTCTGAAAGATGGCTGCCAGTGAAGGGCCATGGCCGCTGCTCTGACCGGTGAGCAGGGCACTGTGGGAGATGCTGACCCCAGGCCCAAGAGGTTAGGTAGACAGGGTGATCTGGAGAGGGACCAGGAAGGGAGCCAGGAGGACTCAGGCCTGTTTGGGTGGGACGTCCATCTGGGCCACCTGCCTGCCACTGAGCAGTTTGTGACATCTGGGTGAGAGTGTCAGTCTTCTGCTGAGGTTCCTGACCCTATCTGCAGGAGTGACCTTGGCAATTAGGTAGGGCCTGTCCTGCTCATCTGAAGTGTCAAGGTGTGGGGAGCCCCTGCCTATTCCAAGCCCTAGTCTTGAGTGTAAGGACTGAATCTACAACCTAGAAGGAACCCTCTGTCTCCCCACATTCGTATTCTGAGGGGCTCTGGGGATTTTCCGGAGGTCACTGAAGTGCAATGTTTGAAAGTCCTAGGACTAAGGCCAGGATCACTGTGTACAGTTGTACAGGTTGCTCCCTGCACAAATGTTTTCCAGCCATGAAGGCTAAGTGGGGATGAAACCCAGCCCTAGTGTCAAAGCCCCTGAGCTCTGCCTGCCGGGCGGGGTGGGAGGTGGGGGTGGTTTTTTATTTACACAAAAGCTGTATGTAAACGACTGGGAGCCTTGGTCCACCTCTGGCTGCAGCCACCGTCTAACCCAGGGTAAAGTTGCTTCCTTCCCTCCCTTGATTTTTGTGAGAGACACAATCCAACAAGTATAACAGATTCATTTTGGACCCTTAAAAATACAGATGTGATCCAGTGTGTGAAGGGAACACCTGTAATCTCAGCACTACGGGGGTATAGGTGGGAGGATTTCAAGGTCCCTGGGCAACTTAGTGATTTAATGAGACCATCTCGAAATTTAAAAAAAAAAAAAATCGAAAGGGGTGGGGATAGAGCTCAGTGGCAAGGGCCTGGGTTCAACCCTCAGCACCAAACACACAGACACACAGAAATACAGATGCTTGGGTTAGGGGTGTCGCTGAGTGGGAGGGTGCTTGCCTAGCATGTGCCAGGACCTGGGCTGGACCTCCAGCAGGAGTAGGGGCACCCAAAACAACCACCAAACTCAGGCCTCAGCACACAGCAATGGCCAAATCTTGGGGTGGGGTGAGTGGTACGGTGTGTTTTGAAACTCTCAAATGATTGTGAGGTACAGCCAACACTTGAGACTCTCCATGGGGGAAGTTGAAGCCCAGAGCTAGATAGGCCTTGCTGGGGACAGCAAGTTTTCTAGCTTCATAGTCGAAACTTCCGTGAGGCTCAGTTACCCCATCTGTAAAATGGTGCTGATGACAACCTTCTTCATGAGATCAAATTTTTCCTCATAAAAATCAGTGGACAATGTCCACACAGCATGCGGCACTCTGTCCAGCAAGAAGATGGCTACTAATTCTTGGTGCCAATGACTGCCATCATTGTTGTTCGCAGTAAGACACTGACTTAGAATAAAGGGCTCTCTCTCGGGTCAAGCGTTCAGTGACACAGAGCCAATTCTTGGAAGATGGGTGACAATCCTGCCTATACATCTTTTGGATTATTAAAGTATGTGGGGCCAGGTCTGGTGGCACACACCTGTAATCCCAGCACTCAAGAGGCTGAGGAAGGAAGAATGCTGTGAGTTGGAGGCCTGCCTGGGCTGCATAGTGAGTTCAAGAGTTCAAGGTTAGCCTGAACTCCACAGCAAGATCCTGTCTTGAAATACGGAAAAAAAAAAAAAAAAAAAAAAGTACATGGGGTTATCATCTGCTCTGTTACCTAATTTGTTAAAAAGGAGCCTGGCGGGAAGCCTTGCTTCCTGACCGCCTCCCAGCCACCTGCTCACTCCACTCCTCGACATCGGAGTCATTTCCCTGAGCTGTTGCGCATCTCCTAAGCTTTCTTGGACACTGTCCACGGATGCCTCAGAAGCTCTAAGACCATGTGTGGGCCTCCCCGCCTCTCATGGTGTCCCGCTACTTGATTCTCTCCACAGCACTTGAGAGCAAGCTCTGTGTGGCCGCTGAGGAAACAGACTCTGAGGGCAATGTGGTTTTTCTCAGTAAACTAAGTCTGCAGAGTCTGATCGGCTATCCCTGCATCCAGAACAGCATTCACCCCCTGTGCTGCCATGGCCTTCCCAGAGCCTGGCCCAGCGGGGCCTACATCTCTCCAGGGCAGGCCTGGACTTCCTAGGCAATAGGACAGGTGGGTGGGGAGGCCTGTCAGGTGTCCGCCCCATGTCTGGGCACTGACACCCCAAAGAGAGGCTGAAGTGCAGGATAAGTCATTCGAACAGCAGCCCAGCTGGTGGGAGTTTCCTGAGTGGGACAGGTGAGGTGTGGGGTCCTTCAGCACTGTGGGGCCTGCCCAGGACTTTCAGCCTTGGGCTGTGTGGGTGGCAGATAGGGCAGGAGGGAGGCAAGGAAGGGAGGGAGTGTGACCCAGGAGACAGATCCTGGGGAGCAGGACCCAGGGAGAACCCTTCCTGGAGGGATTTGCAAGTCGTGACAGAGCAGGCAAAGAGATTTTAACCACTGTTTCTGCTCGCACACCCTTGGGGTTCCCTCTGGATTCTCAGGTTGCTTCAGCTCACTGACTTTGGACAAGGTACCTTCTCACCTGTGCCTCAGCTTCCCCAAATGCAAAATGATTAGACAGCTGCTCTTTGGCAGCTTTGGAGTACCTTTAAAGGAATCTATGGGGGCACCTCTCATTTTATTGAGAGGTCTGGATCCTGATTCTCCCATCGGAGCCCACATACCTCCTGGGTTGGGGCCGGGAATGCATTGCTCCATAACCTAGGTTGCTGTCCCGTCCCTCCCACCAGCCTGTGCTTCCTTCCCTTGTGCAGATGTGGAGCCAGGGCCCTACCTGGCAGCTCCTGGGGGGAGCCCTGGCCCCCGTCTGACATCCTCCTCCGGTGCCACAGGGCCCTGCACACGGGGCAGCCTCTTCATCCTGGGGCCAGCTCCTCTTGCCACTCTGGCACTCAAGATCCTGCAAGGACTGCTGGGCAGTTAATCCCTTAATGCTGGTCACAATGGGATTTGGGGGGCAGTGGGAGGCGGTCTCCATGGAAACTGCTGTCCTGCCCAGGATCCATGCAAGGACTTAGCCACAGGGCTCAACTGGGGCTGCCTGCTGTCTCCTGGTCCTCCTGCTAAACTTGTGGGCTACAGTCACAGGCCTGGTCCTGTCCGCTTCCGAGCTCAGGTTCTTTATTCTCCTTTTGCTGAGCCTGTCCTCAGCCCAGCAGTGTGAGCTTCTGTGTCCCCCAGGCCTAGGCTTGAAGCTTGGCTTTCTCCTCCCCAATTACCCCAGGCCTAGAATTTCATTTCTCTGAACCTCAGTTTCCCCACCTAAGGAATGGACACAATAAGACCGATAGGCATGACTCTTGGGTGCTGAGTAGTGACATTCAGTGAACTCCCCCTGCCACACCGTACCACCCTCCCTGGCCACCTGGAGAACCCCAGGCCCTGCCCTTATCTCTAGCAGAGCTGTCCCCCTCTCTTAAAGGCTCAGGTTATCTTCTTCTGTATTCCCACAACCCCCAGAGTTCTATAGCATCACGGTTTAACCCACAGGTGACAACTGCCCCTCTGGACTGTGTCCCACTGACCCCGGTATGCCCAGGTCCCAGCTGGCACTTAGTGCTCAGTATCAATTCTGAATACATGAGTGAATGAATGAAGAAGTTCGTCCATCCAAGCATTCACCACTCCTTCACCATCTCCTGTGGGTGCCATTTGTATGCTGGATATGCAGCAGTAAAGACAGTGGGCAACACCTCTCCCTGCCAGCACTGCATGCCAGCAAATCAAACACAGGCTGAGCTGGGCATGGGGGTGTATGCCTGGAACCCCAGCACTCTGGGAAGCTGAGGCAGGAGAATTTCCAGGGTCAACTCAGCCAGTCTTACCAAAAAAAAAAAAACCTTTTAAAGCCTGGAGGTGCAGTTCAGTGTGAGGGTCCCAGTTCAATCCCCAGTACTGGGGAGAGGGAAAAAAAAAATCCACACAGGCAGTTAAATTGGAATTTCAGATAACTAGTGACCATGTATGTATGTGTGTATGTGTGTATGTATGTATGTATGTATGTATGTATGTATGTATGTCTTTTTCAAGACAGGTCTCGCTATGCAGTTCAAGCTGACTAGCTCACTTTGTAGCCCAATCCCCTGAGGGCCGGGGTTAGAGGCATGCGTCACCACATCCGGCCAGCGACTGAGTTTTTAAACTTAAGTATGTCCCTAACAACGTACGGCATACACTTAAAACCTCTGCGCTTTGTTTCCACCAAATGGAAGTAAGAGGCCTAAATTGTACCTGACAACGATTGCTTGGCTCATCTGGCTTGTATTTGGTGGGAAGGTCAGGCAAAGCCAGGCAATGAGCGAGTTCAAGAAAAACAAATTTTACAGACCGGTTAAGTGAAGCAAAAACTAAAGAAACTGCGCGGTGTGCCAGCACGGGGACAGGCAGGAGCGTCCTTGACTGCAGTTTTAGGCCCAAGGGGCGCCGACCCGAAAGTTCTCGGAGGCGGGGGGTGCCCCAACCCTGCGGGCTGTAAGCGACGGAGGGCGCCGCCGAGGCTGGGGCCCCGAGCTTGGCTGACAGCTTCGCGAACCTCCGGAAACTCGCAGTCCCACCCCTGGTACCATCCAATGTCCTCTGTGTGGCGGGGAGCCAAAGGAAGGGGCCAAAGGAGCTGTGCAGAGAAGCATGACCACCTGCGGGAGCCGGGCGCCTTGACACACTTTCTCCGACTTTAGCTGTGCGGCTCGGCTGGAACAGCCGGAGGATCGCTGCGAGGCAGAGGTCCCTAAACTCGCATCGCTTTGCGCTTCTCGGGCTCCCTCTCGTGGCCGATTTTGATACTAGCGCTCAGTAGCTGGCAGACAGCTACACGGCCTTCACCAATCAGAGGGCAGGCCGAGGTACCATCCCACCAATCACAGACCCAGACGCATTACGTCGCTCCAGTTCCCGCCGAATCTCGATCATCAACCAATCAGAGAGCACGATTTAAAAACCAGTTCCCAGGACCTTCTCAGAGAGGTCCTCTGGCTTCTATGAAACCTGTCTAGTCCACATCGCGCGCCTGCGCCTTGGAGGGAAGGGGGCCCGGGGTTTGGGCTGGTTCCGCAGGGAAGCCCGCGCTTGCACTCAGGGGCACTGATAAAGATATTCCTATCATTAAATACCACCCCTGTCCCATTATGAACGCTCATGTATGGGTGGGGGAACGTGGCAAAAGTGTGACCTCAGGAAAGAGACAAAGGACGCTTTGTGCAGCGCGTAGAGACCCTCCTCCTTTCCCAGGGGTTAAAAGAATAACAGTAACATCCACATGTCAACCAGCAGCCCATCTCAGTTACCCAGACCCAAGTTCTGAGAGTCACTTTGTGTCCTCTCTCCACTCCCACTCGCGCCATCAGAAAACCCAGGGCTCGCTACCTCGAATTTCCATCTTCCTGTCTCCCCCACCGCCCACCACCTCCAGCATCGCAGGAGTTGGCGAAAGGCTCCTCCCTTGCCTTCCACTTCACTAGCCGGCCCCTCCCTCTCCAGCGAGAGCTGGAGTGGTACCTCCTACGAACTTGCATAGAATGGGAATCCCTCTCCTCCTTAAACTTTTATGACTTCCTGGGCACTGTCATACAGCTCCTGCAACTCCAAACCGGGGATCAAACTCAGGACCTTGTGCTTATGCCACGGAGCTATTACCCCAGCCCCCAATATGGTTTCTTATGTGGCTGACACAAAAGATCCTTCAGATTGGGACTGAATTGTGCTTCTCTGGGAGGGCTTTCTTACATGATTACTAGGTTCTCTGTATGTCTAGGTTCTCTCCCTCGCTCTCTCTGTCTCACACACTTTTCTAAAAACTTAGATTTATTTTAGGAAGAAGGGTTACTGCTACCTTAGCGAACCATCAGTATCTTAAGTAGAAGAAAATGAGAAAATAAACAGAATGAAATAAACCAGTTATAGTATATTTTGATTCAATAGTGTTTGCTTGCTAAAGTTTCTGGACAAACTTTTGTTCAAAAACAAAAACCATTAAAAAAAAAATTCAACTTTTATTGAAAAAAACAAAGACCTCAAATGGCCAGAATGTTTGGATGCAGCACAATGTCGAGGCTGAGGAGACAAATTCCAGAAATTGATCTCCTGGGCTTAAGTTCTGGTTCTGCTGTGAACTGGTTGTGTAGCCCTGAAAAAGTTATTCAACTGTATTGATTCTATTTTTGTTTGTTTCTTCTTTTTTATTTTGCAGGGGCAGGAGAGGCCGAGGCTCTCTGTGTTGGCTCGCTGAGTCACACTGCCAGCCCTGTGTCTGTTTTCTTATCTGCAAAATAGGGATGCAAAGTGTGTCTCACTGGGTGGTTGTGGGAATGATCAGTGTCCATGGCACTAAGGGGCGGCTTAGAACTGTGCCCGGCACAGGGCGAGCTCCAGAGCGTGTTAGCTGCACAAGAAGGGCGCAGTGCAGACCCCAACAACTTTGGAGAAGTGTTTGAACTCAGTGCAGAGGAAAAACAATTCCTCCGCACTGGCGGGGCTGCATCACCTGGATGGTGTGGGTGGGGACAGCTACCCCTGCAGCAGGTGATGCGGCGAAGTCCTGGGGGTTTTGCTCGGCACAGCTGCCCACACCCAGCCTCGGGTCATTAGTGAGACCACAGAGCTCAGGTCATGTACGGGCAACTGCAATGGTTCTGATTCTAACAGGGATGCTTACCATTCTCCCAGCATGGGGCAGGGTGAGGAAACTGCATACTCGGAAGAATGACTGAAGAGCCAAAGGAGGTGTGGGCTGGGTACCAGGGAAGAGGACAGACCTTGGAGTGCAGCGGTCAAGCACTTTGAAATGTATCAATGTGCCTTTTATGTAGCTGTTTGACCATATGAGAGTTATAAGCTTGTAAAGCCTTATTTGCTTCATTTATAAGATAGGAATCAGTAATAGGGCTTCTTTATTGATTGCTTTGCAGAATAAACGTGATAAACCCTAAACACCTAGCAGGTAGCTAGCTGCCCAGCACCCAGGTCATTTAGTGAATTCAAAGTGCTTTTTTCCCCTGGAAAAGAAGCCTACTGATTCCTACAGCCCCAGAAGATGAGCCAGGACCCATGGAGACATGCTGCAGGGAGAAAAGTTGGGCTCGGAATGAAAAAGAGCTTTCTGTCAGGTACAGTTGTTCCCAGGAAAAGCTGTGGTCCCAAACAGTCTGCATCTTGTCACTGCAGACACCAAGCAGAGCTCAGGGTCGCCTTCAGGGAGGTTAGGAAGAGAATCTAACAACAAGTAAAGCAGCATCTCTCTGGAACAAAGTCCTAAATAAAATGCTATGAAACCAAATCCACATCAAGAATATTGGCTGTCCACAAGCAGGAGACTGGATTTGAACTCTTTCTTTATATTATTATACAAAACTTAATCAAAAATGGGTTGAAGAACTAAAACCATTAAAATATAGGGAGGAGGGATGGGGAGATAGCTCAGCAGCATAAGCGCCCACCTGGCAAGTACAAGGTCCTGAGTTCAATCCCCACTACCAAGTACATATATTAAAGTTTCCTGACATTGGATTTAGCAATGATTTCTTAGATATGGTACCAAAAGCACAAGCCACAAAAGAAAAGATAGGAATTGGTCAACATCAAACTATAAAACTTTTGTTTACCAAACAACCTTATCAACAGTGTCCTAAAAACAAACAAACAAATAAACAAAAAACCAAAAAAGTGTTCTCCCACAGGCAAGAACAAAAGTACTTGTAAATCATATAACTGGTAAGGGATTAATATCCAGAATATATACAGAACATCTACAACTTATTAATAAAATAAACAATTTTAAAATAGGCAAAGAATCTGAATAGACATTTCTTCAGTGAAATTATACAGATGACTAGTAAGCACATGAAAAGATGCTTAACATCACCAACTATTGGAAAAATGCAGACCAAGGGCCGGCCAAATAGCTCAGCAGATTAAAGCATCTGCAAGCAGGCGCAAGGGCCAGGCGTTCGATCTCTGGGCCTGTCCTGCTGGCCCCGTCCCTGGGGTGCCCTG